GTACTTGAGGTGATTTTGCTGGTGGTGACCTTGTGGATGCACTGCCTCCTGCAAAGAGTACATGCATTGAGCTAATTATTCTGTGGAAATAACTAAATATGGTACTACTGTATGTAAGGATTGCATAACTGCTTGCACTGCCTGGTGGAGGTTTTTCTGTCCACATGCATTTATGCAAAGTCTGCGTCAATTCAATTAAGTAACTAAGTGGAGGCCTAATGGTTGCACATATGCATGCAAGAATTGCATAAATGGTCTGCACTACTGGTGGAGGCCTGCTGATGTAATAATTTATGTGTATGTACTTATATATATGTGGTAAAATACTATTAAATACTAATTAATGACTAGTTATGGTATGGCTTTAACCTTTATATTGGATTATCTTCTAAACTAATAGAGATAGAGGTATAGTTGTAGTGAGTGACTATGGGTAAAATTGTATGCAGATTCTGATTATGCAATAATATGTTCATATATGTAAGTGGTTTATGTTGTAAGGTAGGGGTTTTGGCAGTTTTGTTGCGCACAACAGCCTGGACCACCACATCCCCCCCCAAATTAATGCTGTCCGCAGCATTCCTGGTGTAAGCAAGAAAACTGCCCCAAGCCTCTAGTTGACTAATTTTAATTCATTAATACGTTTTGATTCCTAACTGATATCCTACTGATTCTCCTTTTCTTCATGACTTGGTCCTTCTGTTCATCTGATTGGGTTCCACTTTGATTGAGTTTCCGCCGTCCAGGTTTTTCTTCATTGTAACTGATTTCTTCCTCTTATTCCCAAATTATAATATACGTTTGTCCTTGTTATTCTCCTCGTCTCGTTCTCCGCCTGCCACGTCCAAATCAAAGGCTCCAAATACGACTCTCTTTCATTCTATTTCATGGGTATTAGTCCAAGGAAAAGGCTGGTGGTTGATGTATTTGAAGGCTGTTCCAAAAAGAAAGGTCTCCAACCGCTGAGTCAAATGGGCTTTTGAATACACGTTCAATTCACCGTCCCCCCGGAAGGATTCCTTAACTATTTCTTCCACATTTTCATTCTATTTTTCCTTCACATCGATAATTCCTATTCAAGTCTAAACTATATTACTATTTAGTATAATTGGTTGATCTGCTATCTTCTGAACTTTTCTTCCTGTTTTAGTTTCTAATCTCTCTCTCTGCGTTATTCCAATAAATAAAGCCTCCAGTCCTTGTTATTTAAAAAATTTGTTTCCGTATAGTATCCGTTATTCTTCTCTTCAATCAATGGCCTAGAATTTGCCTTCTACTGACTCGTTGCTGTCTTCATTACTTTCTCCGGAGGCGGATTCTTCTTCCCTCCCACTTTCATTATTACTACTATTACTACTTGTCTCTTTGTCTGATTTGTCTTCTGCCCCTTCTTCCAATTGCTCCTCTGTAAGTTGTCCAATTCGCATGGTTTTGCCCATAAATAATGATAATCCATTCCCTGCCGTGTTTTGATTTTGTGTTTTGGCCCTGCCGCTTGATTAATTTTTCCTATCCAAATTAGATATACAGTTTTAAGTCATGTAGGACCTCCCATTGTGATTGATAATGGGACCTTGATTTATCTTGAGGGTTTGCAGTTTAAGGTCTTACTGGACCTCTTCAGTTTTGAGTTTGCAGTTTAAGGTCATACAGGACCTGGATTTATCTTTTAAGTTTGTAGTTTAAGGTCATACAGGACCTCTTTTTATTTTTAAGTTTGCAGTTTAAGGTCACCCAGGACCTCTTTTAGCTTTAAGTTTGTAGTTTAAGGTCATACAGGACCTCTTTTAGTTTGCAGTTTAAGGTCATACAGGACCTAGATTTATTTTGAGGGTTTGCAGTTTAAGGTCATGCAGGACCTAGACTCCCAGTCCTTCCTTCTTTTTTTTTTTTTTTTTTTTTTTTTTTTTTTTTTGCTGTAGCCTTACTGTTCTCTTTGACTTTTCTCATGCTCCAATGTACAGCTTTACTTGTGCTGTGCTGAGTTGGGCGGTGCTCTTGTAGTGGTTGTTTTGGTTGTGCAACGGTTCTGCCTCGCCCAGTCAGAGAAAAAAATCCAAGAGTCTTCGGCTGCATGTTCTCCCCGGCCGTCCGGACTCCGATACCCCAATCAATGCCAAGAACCTACTAACGATCCTCGCCAGCTTCCAACGGTACCTCTATTCGGATCCGCCGCTCGTAAGTTCTACATACATCCTTCCACATGTTCCAATCAGGCTAATTGCTGTTTCCTTTTGTTTTGCCTTCCTTGGCTAGTAGTATCCGTCAATCGAGCCGAGATCCCCACCAACGTCCTCGCCGGTTCGCAATCATACCTCCATTGCATTCGCCAAGCTCTGTACCGGCGAGTTTCTCCTCTCGCGTCTTCCATGTAGCTTCGTGCAGCCAAATTAACCGCCACTCCCCTTTGTTTTGTAACAATACTCTAGCCGGGGTTTTTTTTATTTTTTTATTATTATTATTATTATTGATTGATGCCCAGATTCTTCGAGCTCATTACCAGTGTC